GTACAAAGATAGCAGATACATTGGGAGGGAGGATAGCACACTTTTCACCAGGGTAACCTTGCCTCCATAAGAAAGATACTTGGTTTTCCAGGAGGCTAGCTTCTTTTCAAGTCTTTCAACAATTGGCTCCCAAATTGACTTGGAATTACATTTTGCACCTAGGAGCATGCCCAAATATTTTAGAGGCAACTTTGCCACTTTACATCCCCACAAATCTGCCCCAACTGGTCAACTCCTGCACCTCTCCCACAGCCACTAACTCACTTTTGTTTAAGTCAACATTCAAGCCTGACACTACTTCAAACCATTTCAGCACAGACATCACAAAATAAAGCTGCTCTTGCGATGCATCACAGAAGATCAAAGTGTCATCAGCATACTGCAGTAAACTAACCTCCACCCTCTCGTTACCTACTGAAAAACCTTCTAGAAAACCCCTGAACCAGGCTCCTCAACAATCTGCTTAGAGCTTCCAACACACACACACACACACACAAAAACAAGAAAGGGGATAGTGGGTCCCCTTTCCTGATCCCCTTCAAACTTTTTAAGTTTCCAGAAGCTTTCCCATTGACCAGAACTGAAAATGATGGAGTACCAACACAAACCTTCATCCAATTTCTCCATTTAGAGCCAAAGTTCGTTCTTCTAAGCACGTAGTCCAGGAAGCTCCAGTTCACATGATCATATGCTTTCTCCAAATCTACTTTGCAGATCAGTCCCCCCTTCCACTTCTCAACCATGAGTCAATCAGCTCATTTACCACTAGAACCCATCCACCGTCAGCCTTCCTTCTGCAAAAGCTCCTTGGCACTCCAATATAATGCACCCCATAACTAACTTCATCCTTTTTGCTAGCACTTTTGCAATAATTTTGTACATGCTGCCTATCAGCCTAATAGGCATGTAATCTTTAATGTCTTCAGCTCCTTTCTTCTTTGGAACCAGAGTGATAAAAGTAGAGTTTAGCCTCCTTTCCAAGGTTGCTGATGTATGGAATTCCTCTAAAACTTCAACAATATCTACCTTCAGAAAATCCCAACACCTTTTTGTAGAATGCCAATGGTAAAACCATCTGGTCCTGGAGCTTTGTCCCCTTCCATATTCATAATTGCCTCTCACCTCCACTTCCTGGAATTCTCTCTATAGCTCCCTTGCTTGCTCACTTGTCAGCCCATCAAAATTTAACCCATCAAGTTCGGGCCTGTATTTCCAGTCTTCTTTGTAAAGATTTTTTGTAGAAGTTAACTATACTGGTTTTGATTCTCTCTTCCTCTTCCACCACTTCCCCAATCACCAAACAATGTACAGCTGACCTTTTTCCAAAGAGAAGAGAGAGGCCAAGAAAAGGTCATCTTCTTTGTCCAAACAGACCTGGACCACTTCTCCAACACTACCAATACTTGACTCATCATCAAACAAACTAACTTCTTCAGAATTGTTGCAGCTACTCCAACTCACGTCCTCAATATCGTCCCTCCAATCCACTTTAGTTCCAGTATACCGCAGATTGGGTTTGTCTTGGAAAGATGATGGGTGTATGACCCACTGCAACTGATCAGACTTCGCCCCCTACAAGTTCACCGAAGTTGAAGGGGATGAAGCTGGACCTGCACCTCAATCTCAATTGTTCTTTTAAATTCAAAAATTTTGAAAAAAAAAAATAGCCTTAAATGACAAATCGGAGCCAGATAGAGCCTTGTTCGACGGTCCACCTCCCTTGACCGATACGCCACCGCTGGCGGGGGAGCAAGCCTTCTTCTCTCCTGCCACATGGAGTCCACCCCACCACATCAGCACTTTCTCTTTCCTTTCTTCCTACCAGCACTAGTGTCACTTCAGCTTCCGATGCGAGCCAGACCTTCCTCCACCTCCCATTGATGAACACCTCAATGGATCTAGGGAGACTCTCTGGTTTGGAACCACCAATCTTGATTCTCGCCGCCTGAAGGTCTTAAGTATTCACACTCATGAGAAACCCAGCACAAATGGCTGCTACTTCATCGAAGACCTCCTCCATCCAGAGGTTGAAAGGAGACCCAAAAATCTTAGCATGGAGAGTTCCATCCTCAAGATCCTTCTCGTTACAGCATGGATTCCAATTTTCTACTAACGCCTTCCCCTCACGGGTGTTCACTATAGTAATCAAGTAATGTCGTCCACCAGGTCAAGGATGGCTGCTCTTCAAACGGAATGAATAGTGCCTTCTCAACAAACAGAAAGTGCCATAACATCTTGCATTACTCCATCCCAGTCCTCAACCTTCTTAACCAACCTGACCACCCTTCCTCTTCTGCCAGTTCTCCAGATTGCCTTCCTCCACTAGCTTTAAACATACCCTACTGTTAGACTTCTTCTCCACAGTGAATTTCTTCCCTTGCAGACCCAGTTCTCCTTTCTAGCCTGAGTCTAATTCCAAAGATTGTGCCATCAACAAAGCCTTTCAACCAACCTGACACCTCCCTGCTTAGAACCACCAAGGATCTTTTGTTTTCTCTGGTTTTGATCGTCAACCCTCCACCTGTTTCTTCCAGTAAAAACCTTTTCTTTTCCACTTCCAGTCCCTACAAACTTCTCCTCCACCTTCACTTGTTTTCATGGATTTTTTGGAAATTTTATAATTTTTTAAAAATTTTGTCCCTTGCTTCAAAAAGGCATTCACCTAGCCTTGTGCCTTGCACTTTACACCAAGGATAGGAGTATTGTAGCTTAGCAGTTTATGTATATTGTATGGAGCAACGTTATTTTTGTAATTGTAAATAGCTATTGCCCTCTTCTTTTGTTACATGGCATTGTAGCTATTTAAAAATGTGGGTATCACAATCAGCTCATAGAGTGAAGGTCTGAAGCTGTAACTTAAGCTAACAGGGAGTATTTCCCAAATAAGATTCCCAGTTTCTCTGCAGCAGTAGCTTAAATCATGCTCTATAAGAGACTCAAATCAATATATAGAAATGAAATCTTATGTAATATTCAGGTGAGCTGGAAATTTGTAAATACAAAGGAAGCAGTTCTGATCTTCCATGTGTATCTCTAATCTAATGGAGTATGGGCAAAGGGACTTAGATTCCCTGCTCTTTTAGTGGCCTTTAAACCATTGCAATGCAGTTGATATACTCCTCAACCAGTAGGTCTGTTAGCACCATTGTGTGCTCTACTTTAGCACCAGAAATTTCCAGTAATGTGTTATTGAAAAACGCAACTCCACCCTAAACATATTAAGTCAACTTGCCCGAGGATACCTTACTCCTTCACAGTGAAGAAATAATGGCTTACTTATTCTTGATGAGAGGAATAGAAAGTGCATCCCTGACCATCCAACACCATACCTCTTCTAAGCAAATTGTCCTTCATCAGGCATTTCTCCTACAGGAAAGCCACTACAGAAGGAACCTAGCTCATGCTTAAAAAAAATATTCTGGTCAGGTGTGGTTTGTGGTTGTTCTTATTAAAGAAGGAGATCACAGAGAAGAACTATGTAATTAAATGTGAAGTATTCTCAAAATGAAGGAGAACCATTGTAAGAACCCTTTTTTGTATTGCCAACTTGTTGGCAGTCTTATCTACCTTATGATGGTTCATTTATACATTGCTTATGTTGTCCAAGTTGTTAGTTGTCTTAAGTTCAAGTCCACATCATTATCATTTACTTGTGATTCATCATCATCCATTACCTTCATAGCACTGTTGAAAAAGGTTTATTCTCTCCTTTGTCCTCCACAGTTCATCTTGCCTATCTAATGCTCACTAGACTGGGTATCCAGATACATCTCTATGACTAGAGATGTGTTTTTCTTAGTGACTCCCTAATCTCATGCAAATGCAAGAAACAACCCACTATGTCCAAACTCCAAACCGTTACTGAAGCTGAGCATTGTGTCATGTCCACTACTTGCAATGAGATTATTTGGCTAAGAGGTCCTTTAAAACTTCGCATTCCACTCTCTCTAAACCTGATGACCTGGAAATGCAAGAAACAGCCTACTATGTCCAAATCCTTTACTTAAGCTAAGATTGTGCCATTGCTGCTGCGTGTAGTGAAACTATTTGGTTGAGGGGTCCTCTTAAAGAATTTCACATTCCACTCTCTTTGACCCACACCACTTTATGTGGATAAATATGAGCATCATGCATTGCTTCCAATCTAGTCTTTCACGATTATTCCAAGCATATAGAGATTGATTGTAATTTTATCTAAAGTTTCTTGACACTATCACTCTTCTTCATGTCTCCTCTAATCTTCAACTAGCTAACATCTTCACCAAAGCCATGACTTGCTCTCTTCATTAATTTCTTTTGCATGTAATTGATCTTGTCTCTCACTGACTTGTCATTTACACTCTTATGTCTTTGCTATGTACAATCATATAATGATCTATCAATAAAATTTTGCAGTTGTCAATCAAAAAAAAAAAAAAGAATTGAGGGGAAAGATGGACAGATTTTTAAACTATGTAGTTATTGTTTGTTGTATTATCTCTTATCCTATTATAATATGATAGGACTGTTGTAGCTTAGCTTGTTATGAAAATCCCAAGGGCATTTTTGTAATTGTAAATAGCTATTGCCCTCTTAATAAAAGTTACCCATTGGAGGTGGGGGTATTCATTTAAATACATCTCCTAAACTCTTCTTCCTTCTTTACTTGCATGGAACCCTAGGAATAACAGTTCTAGGGTGACAAGTAGAGCTTGGTCCCAAAAAAACTGCATTGTTTCATGGAATGCAGGAGTTGAGTCCAGTTAATTTATACAGTGGCGTGAAGTGGGATTTGAAGAAAAGGGTAAGAAAGAAAAATCACTCAAGTGCATCAATTCAATACCATAAAGACACCATTTTTTGAAGCATGCTAAAAGCAGCAGCTTTATTTGCTCACATAGAGCAACTACATTTTTAATTGCAAAGCATTTCCATCCATCCACCATGTACCTCGTAACTCATGCTTCAAGAATCATACAAGGAGAAAAAAATTGTATATCAGAAATGAATGAGGATTTTACCATTTTGATACTTTCTAAATCCAACAATCACCAACACAAAGGCAGCACACTTGAATGGGTAAGGGAAACTTGTGATCAATCAATTGAACGCCTGGAAAAAGCAAGCCAGTCAAGAAAATAATAAACACTATTAATTAATTAAAAACAAAAGATTATAACCAACTGAAAAGTAAAACTAGTAGACAACCAAAAGTTATGATGACAAGTAATATTTCAGGTTCCACGTGACAGAGGCCATCATGTATCGCCAACTCATGTGCCAGAAGAAAGAAACTAACTAATACATACAATGATCTTAGTTTCTTCACAACAATGGACCATGGATTCATGTAAGAATCAACTCATTTTCCTTATATCAATTAACCACTCAACTCAAGGATTCATTTAAAACCTATTTCCTCCAAATGCATTAGACTTAGAAAATACAAAAAAAATAAACTTGGATCTCAAAATTAAACCTTAACTATCCTTTTTGTGATTTCACAATGCAATACAAACTCAGTATCCATTCAAATTACCAGACATACAGAGGACAATAATAGAATAATTCCAATTATCAATTCCATAAATTTGAAATTGAATAAATCAAGAAAATAAAAGCCTGAAACTGAGACTTGACTATTCAGTCAAAAGATTTATAAACTAAGCACGATTCTAAACGTAAAAGTAACAACGCAGCAGAAAATTCTGAACTGACCAAATCCAGTCTATAGAGATCAACAAAAGTAATTAACAATCAGAAATTTTCTGAGGAAATAGGAATCAACTAGAAGAATTCCATAAAATAAATGCATTCAAAAAGGAATTGGGCAAGAGTGAAAACTAAGAAGAAAAGCGTAAGCGGCATAACCAGATCTGAAACCCGACGAATTCAAATGCCGGCAGTAGATCCGAAAAAAAGCATGTCTAAATTGATCAGATCTTTGTCCAGAAACAAACTCGAAGGCTAATTAGGACACTAACGGCTAAGATCCGAACCCTAAAACTGGAAATGAAAGAAGAGCACCCGAAGATTTCACCTTTCAATCTCCCTTGACCTATCCATCATCCGAATCAAATGGAGAGATAGAACAAACGATTAAATGTCGATCAGACACAGTGAATAAGAACTGTACCTTGAAGATCGTAGTGCCGCTGGTCCGAGAGAAAGCAAGCGAGCCAGCGAGAGAGATATACAACCAGATCTATATTTGAAAGAATTTTAGAAAGAACAGACGCGGAGGGGGACTCCCTCCCCACAGTGCTCGCACGGATTGCTACTCGCACATGGGACTTTCAAATCCAAAGAGACAAAAATACCCTTCGATGCCAAGTATCCGCTACGACCAGCTGAGAACTTACCAGATGTCACCTTGCAGCTGAGAGTTTATAGAGTCGACATGTTAATCCATTTATAACTATTGTCCGGCCGATGAATTTAAATTTTGTAAAGTTATTAGACAATGAGACCCTCTATATCCTTACATTTTTGTTTTATGTGTTTAAGCACTCTTAAATGAAAAAAAGAAGCAAGGGGATAATAAAAAGCAAATTGATTGCAAAATCTCGGGATGGGGTTCAAAGATTCTCATCCTACAATTTGCAAATGATTACTTAATTTTTGCAAATACTAGTATTCTTTCATGCATGAAAATTAAAAAAAAAATCATTACAAATTATGCAAAGGTCTTGGGCCAATGTCCAAAATTTAACAAATTTGTGGTTTGTTTCTCAAATAATACTCCTCATAGATTCCAAAATAAGAATTAGATTACAAAAGATGCTCTAAAATGCTCAAAATCCTTTTGGAGGCTAAATATATTCCTGCATGCATGAAAATTAAGGAAATCATTACAAATTATGCAAAACTCTCGGGCCAATGTCCAAATTTTAACAAATCTGCAATTTGTTTCTCAAAAAATACTCCTCATAGATTCCAGATGATGCTCTCTAAAATGCTCAAAATCCCTTTGGAGGCTAAATCTAATTTTATTTAGGGGACCCCATTATCATAATAAGAGTTACAAATAACACATTTACTCATATCAAAGAGAAAATGATGAATAAATTGGCAATTTGAAAAAAACATTCTATATCAACTAAAGGTATATTAACTTGAAGGGATGAGAGATCCATCATATGGATGGGCGAACCCTGCAGGAAGGTTGAGCAAATTTTCAAAAAATTTCTCTCTCTCTCCCATGTGGGAATCACATTCCCTATTTTACAAAACTGCATTTTCAATAATCAATACTGAAACAAACCAAACTACATCTAAAACCAAAAAGGTAGGAAAGGGATAACCTGATACGGAGTAACAGTAACTCCCAATGAAGGTGTTCACGCCCAAGAAAAAAACCAAAAACTGCTTCCACTGAATATGAAACGGTGTGGGGTGAAGCATAATCAGCAGGACGATTCTTCAACAAAAAGCGAATTCTTCAACAATAATATGATGGAGGGCTGATGGGCACGACTTCAGATTGCCTCTTCTAGCAAAAGACAATATCAAGAACCGTTCTTGATCACTCCTACAGGTGGACAACGAAATGGGTAGGGCGGTAAGAGCAAGAAAGAACAAGAGTAGAAGACAAGAGCAGTCGAACTGTATATTGTCTTCTCTTTTAATTCAGCAGACTATGAGATGTTTATGGAAGTCCACCCTGCTCTCCTATTTATAGCCTTAAAGAGAAGTTCTCTTAATCCTATTAGCAGTTTCCTAATCCAAATCTTATATTTCAACGGTTGAAATCAACTACTAGCAGGTTAGGTTTCCATCAGAGAGAGTGCATCCCCGATCATTCACTTTGTCCGACAAAGGGGTTGATCCTGTCACTATAATCACCCACTCAGATGAATTCTCGAACTGTCCCAACATACCCAGGTTTTGGCCCCCTCTAAGGATCTCACTGAATGGCATATCAAATACAGCCCAATCCGACACCTAGTGTAGTATCATATTCGAGTTTAGGGGTTAGGTGTAACATTTCAATTTTGTCCATCTATCTCCAAGGTCCAGGGAAATACTAGAATTTCGGTCTGGTTCAGGGTTTCAAGAAATCCCACACTGCATGTACATCAGGTCTCACCCTAGCAGCTGAGACAAGCCACCCCAACCAACTTGGCGATACATCAGTGTCAGCCTTGGCAGGATAAATCTCCCCAGATCTATCCAATGACTATGAAGATTCTAAACTAACACGAGTCTCATTAAGTGTCCAGTTTAAGGGTATTACACAGAAACACACCACAATGACATGTACTTTATTCATTTACAATAAATGTCAATAAGTTACATCAATCTGATTGGAGCTAAAGGGCATAACTGTCTAACAACTCCCACTTGCACTTAGGTCCAATCGGGTACAAACCGGAGTCCCATACTTTTCACGTGTTTCTCAAACACTTTTTGTGTCATTGGCTTAGTTAACGGGTTTGCTACATTTTCCGCTGATGCTACATTCTGAATCCAGATGTCCCATCTTCCAACTATCTCCCGCAGTACATGGTACTTCATCTCGATGTGCTTCGACTTCGAGTGGGCTCATGGCCTCCTTAACCTGAGCAATGGCTCCAGTGTTGTCACACAACAATCGAATGGGTGATGTGCTGGATGGAACTCCTCCTAATTCCTGAATGAACTTCTTCATCCAAACGGCTTCTTTGGCAGCTTCACTTGCGGCAACGTATTCGGCTTCGATTGTGGAATATGCAGTGGACCCCTGTTTGCTGCTTTTCCAACAAAACAACACACGATCCTATCGTAAAGATATAACCAGATGTAGAGTTTCTAACATCTGGATCTGACTAGAAATCGGCATCAGTATACCCCTGGATCTGTATCACGGGTCCTCTTCTTGGGGATTATTTCCGACGTAGTTTCGGTAAGGTTTGTTTCCAGAGAAGGATGGAGAACATAGAGACCGTTCTCAAGTTCTCCATATGCGAGGAATTTGTTATTCCGTTTAATAGTAATCACATTACTGAATAAAATAGAATAACCATCCATGCACAATTTTGAGACAGAAATCAAATTTCTTCTTAAATTTGGTACGAACAGACAATCTTTTAGTACAACGGTTCATTCTCTGAAAACTAATTCTACAGTTCTTATGGCTGTAGCTGCAACTATTGCAGAAGTCCCCAAGTAGAGTGTCACTTCTCCGTCACTAAGTCTTCTACTTAACTTGAACCCCTACAGTGAATTACACGCATGAATTGAAGCCCCGAAATCAATACACCAGGAAGCAAAAGTGACCAACAAATTGGTCTCTATGATAAAAGATTCGAAATTACCTTTCTTCTTAGTCTCCATAAATTGAGGACAGTTCCTCTTCTAGTGGCCTGTTTGCAGAAGTGGCAGGCATCCGATGCATTATCCTTCTTCTGCTTCCTATCTTTGCTAATTTTCTTCTAAGCCTTCCCTTTAGCCTTTCGCTTTCTTTTGCCCGATTTGCCACCTTCAACAAGCATGACTATTGGCTTATCCTTCTTGATCAGTTATTCAGCCCTCTACAACATATTGATGAGTTCCTGAAGACTAACATTTAACTTATTCATGTTATAGTTCATGATAAACTGATTGAATGAGGGAGGCAGGGAATTGATGACAACATCAATTTTAGTGTCATGGTCTAGCCTTGACTCGAGAGCCTCCAGTTCATTAATATAACCCATCATCTTTAAGCAATGGTCATGAACCTGATGGCTCTTGGTCATCTGTGCAGTCATAACAATTTTAAGACCTTCTGACGAGTAGAACGATTATGCTCCTCATATATAGTCTTTAGACTATCCAGTATGTCCTTGGACACTTCGATCTTATCGAATTGTCAATGTATCGGATTATCTAAAGAGGCTATAATATAACACCGGGCAACAAAATTTTTCTCCTCCCATTCTTGATACTCTCTTCGTCTGGCCTCAAAAGCCCTGTCACCCGGACGATCCGGAGCAGGGTTTTTAGCAAATTTGTCCAATTTCTCGGACGTTAGGACCAACATAAGGTTTCAGAACCAGTTACCATAATTTGGGTCCTTAAGTTTGTTATCGTCCAACCGTCCGACGAATTGTCCGTTTGCCATTTCTGATAAAAGGCAAGGCTGATTTGTAAGACCACAACCTAATTGATTCATGTCATCACATGGATAAGGATTTTAATATATGTTCCATTTCCATTTTGGGCATCTCTGAGATTCCCTCCAATCTCGATAACGGAGATAGTTGTGTCTCTAGAAATGTGGGAAATCACATAGAGTACATGGAACCAACTATTTCAACTGCATAACCCCATCAGCTTCTATGAGGATCTTATCCACTCATCTTATGAGTTTTTCCTCTGGCCTCTGTTAGACAAGGTTCATAGCCATTTTAGGTTAAACCTTTATGTCCAGTAAGTGCTTATCCATCATATTCGTGAATGCCAAGGTACCGTGATAGAGTCTTCCATTTTAGGATAGCCCCTCCCACATCGGTCTATGACGCCCCTATCATCTCATGAAGCAATCCAACCAACTTCATTAGCAGATGGATAGCCCAATTTTATGGTGCATCCCCACCCACCAATATAGTCAACCTTCATACTAATGATGGAAGGCCTTTAGAGAGTTCATCATATAAATCTCCCTATTGCATGCACTTATATTTGTAGGAGTGAACAAATAATTACGCCCTACTTTAATTTAGGTCAAACCAAAGTGGCTCTCATTGCCTTTCATAAAGCTAGATTTAGATGGGCCCTAAACGGATAGGGTTCCGCAAGGTTCCTCTTGGGGAGGAGGCTGGTGTGGGGTCCACCATGAAGGGAGATCATCCACTGATCTCAAGGACACCATGGCAATGATGTACATTCAGCCATGGTGTGCGTAAGAGCCACTGTCAAATCAACATGGGCCAACTACTTATGGCCCATGAACGTAGCACATTACACATTCATACATCACATGCATGAAATCCATAACTGATCCAATCAATTAAATAACTGTAAAACTCATATGTAAAGCCCATTTAAAGCTCATAACATTATCAAATAATATTATCTAGGTATATGGGCTGAATTGCAAAGAGTAGTTCGGCCCATATAGCATTTATGCCGAATTGGGCTGAAGCAGTTTTAACAAATTAAAATTGGGTTTTACAAATGTGGGCCGAATTGCATCTTACAATTAATTATCAACTCTTGGACCCATATATGAAATTTTAGGGCTGAGAACAACCCCCGTCGAACCATAGATTCGGTCCAAT